TTCCATTCTTTCACACATTGACCACAATTACCAAATACTGTGTAGGAAATAAAGATCATTAAAGATTTAAAGAACAGCATTATTCAAAATTATCAGCTCTAAACTTGATTTATAAGCCAATTATATTTTTAAGGTCTACTTAAAAAAAAAAAAATCATAATGAAAAAACCCATAAAGGTAGAAAATTTGATATATTTTCTTATTGATTATTTTAAAGAAATTTACACTTTTCTAATACCAATTCATGCACAACTAGAATTTTGTTTTTGTGAACAAAAACATATGTCTCCCCTTATTAGGCAATAGAAAAACTCTGATATAAAAAATTAACAAAGGGCCAAATCTCTTTATATATAGTGGGGCACGAGACCCGAATTTAGAATGCGACACTCCAACTTCCCAAGATATATTAAAACTTTAGCAAGTTTGGTCAACGTAGGTGAAATAACATGGAAGTTATGCCGTGGACAAATATCAGTATTAAAATAAACAAAGGGCCATAACTCTGTATAACATGGGGCATAAAATCTGATTTTAGTGTAAGAAATTCCGCCTTCACAAGATACATAAATATGGTAAGTATGGTCAACGTAGGTGAAATAACATAGAACTTACGCTCTGGACAAACTTCGGTATAAAAAATAAACAAAGAGCCATAACTATGTATATAGTGGGGCACAAGTCCTAGTTCCAGTGAACTGCACACCTTCTGTGGGTGATGCAGGTATACTTCAAGTTTGATTAAGATATCTTTAATGGTTTAGAAGTTATGCTGTGGACAAACTTTGGTATTAAAAATAAACAAAGGGCCAAAACTCTGTATATAGTGAAGACCAAACCTGATTTTAGTGTGAAAAATCCCGCCTTCCCAATATAAATAAATATGATAAGTATGGTCAACGTAGGTGAAATAACATGGAACTTATGCTCCAGACAAACTTCCGCATTAAAATCAAGCAAAGGTCCATAACTCTGTATAAAGTGAAGCATGAGACCTAATCTGATTGCACTGCATACCTTATGTGGGGGGTTCAAATATAGTTCAAGCTTGATCAAGATATCTTTAACAGTTTGAAATAAACGGGCCGGACAAGAATTTACTGAAAATGTGCACTTATTTGACCTTTGACCTTGAGGTGAAGGTCACAGTGACCTAATTCCAGTGCACTGCATACCTCATGTGGGTGATGCATGCATACCGAAAGTTTCATCAAGATATCTTTAACGGTTAAAAAGGTATGGCACGGACAAGTTTGATAAGAAGAACCAGAAGAAGAATGTTAACCAGTACTAATATAATATGTCTCCCTTCATTCGAAGGGGAGAAATAATTAAAATCACTTAGACAACAAGAAGTTTTCACAGTCAACACTGACAGTTGAGAATCCTGGTGTCAAGTCAGCATTTTAAAGATTCTAATGTTTTTGTCCTAGTTTTGACAGAGCTGTAACTAAGATCTCACCTGTTCTATGGTTTATGGCTTTTTCACATGTATATTTTCCCCTTTTTTCTTTTTTGTTGGTGTCACATAACATGTCCGGGGTTTTAAGAGTCTTCACACAAACAAGCTTGGATAAAGACAGAAGTTTGTTCAACTCAACAACTATATAATGTCCATGTGAAAGCTTGATGATAAATAATAAACATATTCAGGAATGGTTGATAAGCCTGAAATACCTACATGTGTAAGAAATATGTTCTGTTAAATATTACTCATCTCAGTTTTTCGGTGAAAGCATTTCTTCTTTAATCTATTTTAAAGACGATCCTCTATGTATACGTAAACAAACAATAATTTGAATACTGAGGGGGCAGATTTTTACGCTGTGAACATTTTGTGAATGAGCACGCCTCAGTAATCCTGAATGGCCATCCACAGTATCTACGTAAGTATCTGTCACCTATGTCTGGCCACTCATCCTGTTATACAAAACACATACACCTGTCATCCTCAAATTGTCACAATAATACACCGTAAAACCATCAAACCCTAGCCATTAGTTTCTGTAAACTGTACACATAAAAACTGAAAATATGGCACCAAATATGCTAAATATGCAGACTGACCTATCTTAATTCAGGATCTGTTCAGGGAGATTCCCCATAACTGGTTTAAATTTTATAAAACACCTTTGGTAACAGCCTTTTAACATTCCTGGTCCAATGGCATACAAAGTACATATTGTATATGTTAATTAATTTGTGATTGTAATTTCTATATCATAAACAATAGTAGTCTGTATTACTCTGTAAATACCAAGCTAAGTTCCATCACAATAATGTAGGTGGTATATGTCACTATCATTCCAATGAAATCTCACCAACTTTGAACCACTCATCACCAGATAATAAGATTGCTTTAGAATTCTTACTGAATGTGTATACCGGTACATATATCAGCTGAATTTAAATTAAAAACTTTTGTTCTATCCACTGATTTATATACCACAGCTGTGATAAGTCAAGTCTATAAAGTCAAAATAAAGTTAAATAAACCCAGAGAAATAGAGTGTGGATTAAAAAAGCATATATATACAGATAATTGTTATATCTAATAACAGGCAATTAAGTCAACATGCAGACGATTATTATTTATAAGGAAACAGTCATTTATATATAACTATAGCAAAGAAATTAACCCCTTCATTAACCAAGCTAGCCTAAGGTAACCACTATTTGATAATTTTATAACAATACAATGTACTTACCAATGAATACCTAATCCTTAGACTCGTATAATCAGGAGCAATCTCCACTGACGTTAGACCAGTAACAGTCTTCTCTTTCTCTATATGTATGTATATAATATACATACCACACCTACCGTACGACTTGTGCCTACCTGTACATTGTACCTATATGACCTAATTATTTCTCTAAATCAGCATACCAGGTGTCCCTTCTGTCAGTCAGCTGACCATTACCTGAGTGGTTCATTACCAGGTCAACCAGACCATAAAAAACATCGGGGTCAATTTTATATATTATTCAATGTAATATCACATATGAATTCCTCCAATGAGTAAAACAGTGACAATTTTGTAGGACCTAGGCTATATATACAGAGGTCTTGTGACATTTTTGTAGGACTTGGGCTATATATACAGAGGTCTTCTGCAGTCCACAACTTTTTCCCGAACTTGCAGCAGTTGATATGTTTTATATATATATACCTCAAGTAAGGTCTATGTCACTCATAGAAAGCAAATGTCACAAAGTTGTGTTTAAATAAGCTTATTCCTTCAATTCCCCAAAATGTATGACATATACATGGGAGTTACTTCCCATTCTCCATTGATATTGAACTGTCATTAGGAACGTCACTAAATAGACCAAAAGAAATATATGTGTTTTTCTTATTTTCCTACCTGCATACAAAAACATCCTTCTAATTACTGTAACATTATAGTACCGAAATTACTGTAACATTATAGTACCAAAATTACTGTAACAAAATAGTACCAAAATTACTGTAACATTATAGTACCAAAATTCAGGAATTAGGTTGACCAAATCCATTTTGTAGAATCCAACATGGTTTCCAAGTAATTTGTATGTTTATTGTTAATCAAAAGGTTAAAGTAGAATTTTATTACAAATGATATATAAATCAATAGGCTATCATTTTGTTAATGCTGATGACCTAAAATCTTTTGAGTGAAAATAAAAAATGTTTTGAATACCTACATACCTATACTCAAAATCTAATTGAATCTGAAATACAGATATATTTGTATTTGGCCTGAATTGAGATGTTCAATTTATTCATCATTACATATTTAATGTTACCATATAAGTCATCTCCTACACCTACACAACCGGTCTAGAACCTGGATTTGATCATTCATGCATGTTATAAACAAGAGGGCCTGTATCGCTCACCTGGAAATGTTAGCAAAATTGAGGATGAAATGGCCAGATGTTTCTGTACATGTATTACATGGTTAGTCAGGGGTTATATTTATATGCAATTGGACAAAATCCTTTCATTCCTACAGAAAAAGGAGGATTTTGAAGAATTTGCTATGTTTCCACTATTGGGCCCCTGCCCCTCTGCACCCAGGGGGGTCAGATCCATCGTTGATAAAAAATTAGTTCCCCTTCACCCAAGGATGCTTTAGACCAAATATGGACATAATCCTGTCATTCCTACAGAAGAAGAAGGATTTTAAGGCTATTTTTCTATTTTCCGTATTTGGCCCCGCCCCTCTTCCCCAGGGGGTTAAAACCCACCATTTGTACAAAATTGATTTCCCTTCCCCATAGGATGCTACTGTTAAAATTTGGTGAAAATATCTTCATCCAAACGGAAGAAAAAGGATATTAAAGTTATTCCTTTATATCCCTTATTGGGCCCACCTCTCTGCCCCCAGGGGGATCGGGCCAAATGTTTATACAATGTTGATTCCCCTTCACCAAAGGGTGCTGTACATACCAAATTTGGACAAAATCATGTCGTTCCTTCAGAAGAAGAAGGATTTTGAAGAATTTGCTCTTTTCCCCTATTGGGCCCCGCCCCTCTGCCCCCACGAAGGCCACACTCACTGTTTATATAAAATTGAGTCCCCTTGTTCCGAGGATGCTCCAGACTAAAATAGGATAAAATCCTTTAACTTATGGTAGGAGAAGGATTTTAAAGGTTTTACCCCTATTTCCATTATTTGGCCCACCCCTCTGCCCTCAGGGGGGGGGGGGGGCACACCCACCGTTTATACAAAATTGAGTCCCCTTGGACTAGGGATGCTCCAGGCCAAATTTAGTCAAAATCTACTTGGCCTTTCAGGACTAGTAGCGTTTTAAAGGAAAAAGTTAACAAACAAACGACGGCCGGACGCCGGATGCTGCAGTATGGCATATATAAGCTCACCATGGTCCTTCGGACCAGGTGAGCTAAAAACATTATTCAAATCGAAATATAACACATGCATCAATTAAATTGCTGACCTTTAAATATTACAAGTTTGAAGTAATGTGTACAGTGTAATAAAATATTGACATACCTGTTAGATCTATGTCCTGTGAGAAGTCGATGTCTGAACCTTTATGGTAGGCCATGGGTTTGGAGTCAGAGTGAGGTGAAAGTTCAGAGGTCGCCATGTTGTTGGGAGTCCTTGGTGCAGCGTACGTCACATCCATCACAATGTCAGGAATATCAGTCAATTGATAGTCAGGGGAAGATGGTGACTGGTTGTAATCCCTACTGTCACTTTGCTGTGAGGTGTTGGCAGGCGGAGTATCCTCCCCTGACACCCGTACAGGCTGTTGTTTCTGCTGCAACCGTGCATCAAATGGATGGTTCGGAGATTGCTTCTCTTTAAATTTTTGATACACGTCTCTATCCCTGTCAGAGTTCTGCTTAATTGATTCCATCATTCGATTGGATGATGTGGGAATAGGTCGTGATCTTGGTTCATGGTCTAACAATTCCACATCAGATTTTGCAAGTGAAGAAGTGGACCCATCTTTGCTATACTTTTTGCCTCTAGGTTTTGGTGAACCACGTCCAAGAAATTTCTTAAAAGACTGTCTGAATTTGCTACGAGACAAGTTTTCATCTGATGCACAACCTCCATGTCCACTGTCAGATAAGGTTGACATTGACTCATTACTGCGATCTTTTTTACTTTTTCTTCCAAGTCTTGGAGAAAGCCTACGGAAGAAATTTCCTATACTGCTACTTACAGTCCTCTTTGGGGGAGCAAGGCGATTTGTTTCTTCCTCTGGTTGTAATGGCATGGAGCTCGATCGTTCCATTCTAGGTTGCAGGTCAGCAGGTTGATTCACTCTTTGCTCAGGATCTGCAGGGTATTCCAATTTTGCTCGAGTAGGATGATCTGATCTGTCCCCTCGGGGCGTCCTATGCGGATCCTTGGAGTGTTTGTCATCAGTGTAGTGATTGGACATTGCCTTCCTGTAGTTAATTGTGCGGTCATGTTCATATTCCCATGCTACAACATTCCGAGGTCCGACATCAGAAGGATGTAGGGGTGGCCTGCCGTTGGGAGTACCGCGCCCCCGGCCCTTCCCTGGGAGTGGGGGCTTTGTACGGTACACTTTGGGAGCCGGAGTGGAGGTTTTATTCACTTCGTCCTCATGCTTTGGTGTATCTTTTGAATATTCATTCACAATCATCTGTGTCACTTCCTGAATTTGTGAGGAATAGTCCTCTTTCTTTTCATCCTTCCTGGGCATCACAGCCTCCTCTTTCTGTGTAGGAGATGAATCAGTCATACTGTCCAAGTATACCAACTTTTTCACTGAAGTGTCTTTGTCAGACATGTCAAAATCTACCCTACTTTGTAATAAATCTTGATTTTCGAACGAGTCTGAATGTCTGACAGTCACATTAGTATTGTAAGTCACATGTTTTGAACCTCTATTTGACTTAGATGATTTCTCTGATTTCATACTAGAAGCGCCAGGACTAGTTGATCGGCTTCTGTGCCGCTTAGTCTTGATCGGTGTTGTTACTGCACTGAAACTTGTACGGTAGGGTTGATCAATTCTCGACAACAAAACTTCCTCTATGTTCTCGTTAGATGGACGCTTTGTCAGACGTCCGGGACTAGTGGCTCTCGTGAGGCGGTCCGGATTTACCCGCCACGAGACTGGTGTACCTTCTCTATGTCTACTATCTAATACTGATTGTGGAGCAAGCGTATCCATTGTTAACCAGTCGGCCAAATTATGAACGTGTGGTATCTATTCTCCCAGAGATCCATGATGTCCATCCAACAATCTGAAAATAAAATAAAATATATTTATTTTCAAAATTAATAAACTGGTCATGAGATAATCATCAATTTTAATTTGCACCAGATAGCATTCACTATTCTTTATAAGATTTACAGATGAAGTCCACATATTTCTGAACCATATATATAGTATCACCCTTCTTCTCCCAAGGAGAGTCAGCCCTCATGTATACAACACTGAATTCTCCTGGCCCAGGGTGGCTCTGTATTTATGAATAGTCATTTAAAGATAAACCAGACTATTCCCCTTTCTGGTTGCTTTTCTCTATCCTGAGGGAGGCATATACATTCTTCAATTACACAATGTTAAATTTTTGCTCCATATCAAATTTAGTTAAAATCCTTCCACCCATACTTGGGAATCTCAGTATTTCCCCTACTGGACTAGTACGTGCCCCTCCGTTCCACACTGGCCATTTCATATTCTGATTGACCTTAATTAATTCAAAATTCAAATAACACATTTTATAAGGGCATTGACTGTAACATCTCTATGAGCTTTTGTTAAAATTGATCTGGTGGAATAACAATTACATTGTACGTAAACAATTTTTAGCCAATCAGAAAGCAGGGTGGCCATTTTGGATTTCACGGGTGAGGTAGATCATCATCATAAGCCAATTAGAGTAGAAGATTAACAATCTGAGGTTCAGCTTTCTCATCCTGATCTGGCCACATCTATTCCATTTTTACACTCAGAACACTGTTATTGAATTATTTTGTTTATTTTATCTTTCTTAAAATGTCCAGCAAGGTATGATTTTTTTTCAGAAATATAAAATCTTCACCTACCTCGTGGATTTAATTGTCTAGCCAGAGGCCCTGCTGAGGGTTAAACAACCAAATAATCACCCGTAGGGTTAGAAGTTCCTCTACAAGAGCCTCGTGGTAGGGGACTATTACTTTTCTCCTCTAATTCTAAATACAATGTACTTCGTTTAAAACTATAGTTTTCAGCATTTGTAATCTGTTTGTTTTCCTGATTTACACATGACCTCTCCCGTCAAGAGCTGATTATGACGTCATATCTTATCGGTCCTGTAACTCCATAGTATTGTTTCTTTCAGCGTGGAATCTATCATACCCTATAGGGAGTGACAGAGAAATGCTACCCTAGGGAGTGACAGCTGCGAAATGATACCCTATAGGGAGTGACAGAGAAATGCTACCCTAGGGAGTGACAGCTGAGAAATGATACCCTAGGGAGTGACAGGTAAATGATACCCTAGGGAGTGACAGAGAAATGATACCCTAGGGAGTGACATGGAAATGTTACCCTAGGGAGTGACAGGGAAATGATACCCTAGGGAGTGACAGGGAAATGATACCCTAAGGAGTGACAGCTGAGAAATGATACCCTAGGGAGTGACACCTGAGAAATGATACCCTAGGGAGTGACAGAGAAATGATACCCTAGGGAGTTGACAGGGAAATGATACCCTAGGGAGTGACAGGTAAATGATACCCTAGGGAGTGACAGAGAAATGATACCCTAGGGAGGTGACAGAGAAATGATACCTTAGGGAGTGACAGAGAAATGATACCCTAGGGAGTGACAGAGAAATGATACCCTAGGGAGGTGACATAGAAATGATACCTTAGGGAGTGACAGAGAAATGATACCCTAGGGAGGTGACATAGAAATGATACCTTAGGGAGTGACAGAGAAATGATACCTTAGGGAGGTGACTGAGAAATGATACCCTAGGGAGTGACAGAGAAATGGTACCTTAGGGAGTGACAGGGAAATGATACCCTAGGGAGTGACAGAGAAATGATACCTTAGGGAGTGACAGAGAAATGATACCCTAGGGAGTGACAGAGAAATGATACCCTAGGGAGTGACAGAGAAATGATACCCTAGGGAGTGACAGAGAAATGATACCCTCGGGAGCGACAGAGAAATGATACCCTAGGGAGGTGACAGAGAAATGATACCCTAGGGAGTGACAGAGAAATAATGTCATAAGGGTGACAGAGATATCATACCCTAGGTTTGGGCGACAAAGATATCATTCACTATAGGGGTAACATATATCATACTCTATGGGGTGAGTAAAAGGATGTCTCTTGGGGTGAGATAGTGGACTCTCAATCCGAGAAGAAAGTCTTGTGTTTGGCAACTTAAGAATCTTCCCCAAGGGTTGAGATCCTCAATCTCACTTTAAAGGGGGTGAATTATTTGTTTTATCTTACCCTGTTCGCCTATTGTGTATCTTAAATATAATGTTATGTTAAATTCAGGGTTGACATGACTTTGAGGGATTGTTGACGTGATGTCATTGTATTGTTAACATGTAACAGAGATATCATACCCGAGGGGTGACATAGAAATCATACCCTATAGGGATAACAGAGATATCATACCCTATAGGGGTAACATAGATATCGTACCCTATAGGGGTAACATAGATATCGTACCCTATAGGGGCGACATATATATCATACCCTATAGGGGTAACAGAGATATCATACCCTATAGGTGTAACAGAGATATCATACCCTATAGGGGTAACAGAGATATCATACCCAAGGGGTGACAGAGATATCATACCCTATAGGGATGACAAAAATATCATACCCTATAGTGGTGACAGAGATATCATACCCTATAGGGGTGACAGAGATATCATACCTTATAGGGGCGACATATATTTCATACCCTATAGGGGTGACAGAGATATCATACCCTATAGGGGTGACAGAGATATCATACCCTATAGAGGTAACAGAGATACAAGAATGTATCATACCCTATAGGGGCAACAGAGATATCATATCTTATACAGGGGTAACAGAGATATCATACCCTATAGGGGAACAGAGATATCATACCCTATACGGGCGACAGAGATATCATACCCTATGGGAAGACAGAGATATCATACCCTATAGTGGTGACAGAGATATCATACCCAAGGGGTGACAGAGATATCATACCCTATAGGGGTAACATAGATATCCTATCCTATAGGGGTAACATAGATATCATACCCTATAGGAGTAACAGAGATATCATACCCCTTAGAGGTAACAGAGATACAAGAATGTATCATACCCTATAGGGGAACAGATATCATACCCTATACGGGCGACAGAGAAATCATACCCTATACGGGCGACAGAGATATCATACCCTATGGGAAGACAGAGTTATCATACCCTATAGGGATGACAGAAATATCCTATCCTATAGGGGTAACAAAGATATCCTACCCTATAGGTGTAACAGAGATATCATACCCTATAGGGGTAACATGGATATCATACCCTATAGGGGCGACATATATATCATACCCTATAGGGATGACAGAGATATCATACCCTAAAGGGGTAACAGAGATATCATACCCTATGGGAAGACAGAGATATCATACCCTATAGAGGTAACAGAGATATCATACCCTATAGGGGAACAGAGATATCATACCCTATAGGGGAACAGAGATATCATACCCTATAGGGGAACAGAGATATCATACCCTATACGGGCGACAGAGATATCATACCCTATGGGAAGACAGAGATATCATACCCTATAGGGATGACAGAAATATCCTATCCTATAGGGGTAACAGAGATATCCTACCCTATAGGTGTAACAGAGATATCATACCCTATAGGGGTAACATGGATATCATACCCTATAGGGGCGACATATATATCATACCCAAGGGGTGACAGAGATATCATACCCTATAGGGGTAACATAGATATCATACCCTATAGGGGCAACAGAGATATCATACCCTTTAGGGGTGACAGAGATATCATACCCTATAGGGGTAACATAGATATCATACCCTATAGGGGTGACAGAGATATCATACCCTATAGGGGCGACATATATATCATACCCAAGGGGTGACAGAGATATCATACCCTATAGGGGTAACATAGATATCATACCCTATAGGGGCAACAGAGATATCATACCCTTTAGGGGTGACAGAGATATCATACCCTATAGGGGTAACATAGATATCATACCCTATAGGGGTGACAGAGATATCATACCCTATAGGGGCGACATATATATCATACCCAAGGGGTGACAGAGATATCATACCCTATAGGGGTAACATAGATATCATACCCTATAGGGGCAACAGAGATATCATACCCTTTAGGGGTGACAGAGATATCATACCCTATAGGGGTAACATAGATATCATACCCTATAGGGGTGACATATATATCATACCCTATAGGGGCGACATATATATCATACCCAAGGGGTGACAGAGATATCATACCCTATAGGGGTAACATAGATATCATACCCTATAGGGGCAACAGAGATATCATACCCTTTAGGGGTGACAGAGATATCATACCCTATAGGGGTAACATAGATATCATACCCTATAGGGGCGACAGAGATATCATACCCTTTAGGGGTGACAGAGATATCATACCCTATAGGGGTAACATAGATATCATACCCTATAGGGGCGACAGAGATATCATACCCTATAGGGGTGACAGAGATATCATACCCTATAGGGGTAACATAGATATCATACCCTATAGGGGTGACAGAGATATCATACCCTATAGGGGCGACATATATATCATACCCAAGGGGTGACAGAGATATCATACCCTATAGGGGTAACATAGATATCATACCCTATAGGGGCAACAGAGATATCATACCCTTTAGGGGTGACAGAGATATCATACCCTATAGGGGTAACATAGATATCATACCCTATAGGGGCGACAGAGATATCATACCCTATAGGGGCGACATATATATCATACCCAAGGGGTGACAGAGATATCATACCCTATAGGGGTAACATAGATATCATACCCTATAGGGGCAACAGAGATATCATACCCTTTAGGGGTGACAGAGATATCATACCCTATAGGGGTAACATAGATATCATACCCTATAGGGGCGACATATATATCATACCCTATAAGGGTAACAGAGATATCATACCCCTTAGAGGTCACAGAGATACAAGAATGT